CATGGTCTGAAGATCGCAGTTGCTAGGGTTTAACTCACTTAACCCCCTGCGACAAGGTGATCTGGTCTTCTCGAAGGTGTCAAAACTGCGAACCTGTTGGGAATGCGCCCATCCCCACGATCACTCGTCTTACAAGAAGGCCCGAGTGCAACTCACGGCGCTGTCATGCGAGCGCGCCGTGGCTATCGATTTTTCGTCATAGCTGATTGGTCCTCTGGCGATGATGCCTGCTCGTGGAGCGTACTGAATAACTACCCCGCGGTCTTTTGTAAGATGAGTGATCGTGAGAACGGGCGCATCCCCAACAGACTCGCATTTCTGATATCAACCCTCACTTACTTGCAGACAACAAAGACTAAAAGTAACAGTAGTTCCTTGTTACCGCAAGAACGTAATTATGCATATAGTATATCCAGTTGGCGCAGCGTTCAAACAGGAAGCAGTAATATACGGCAGTAAAAAGATTGCCAATAAAAGCTAACAGGCGAGTCCCAGGAAGTAACCGAGAAGAAGTAAATGTGATCCCTGGGACAAGAATTTTATTCGACTCACGTTTCGAAATCTTCTGTGCATCCACCATCAGAGACAATAGCAGAAACGAGTAATTCGTACACAGGGAATTGCAATATTTATAGGATACAGTCACTGTGATACTGCACACTTAAGACAATTAAAGGCTCCCCTATAGAGGAGAATTGTTCGCTTGTGCGCTAATTGCTTGCTGGCCGGAGTGCAGGCCGTGAACTGCCAAAATTTCATCACGCGTGGTAGACTTGAGAGTGATGATTGCTAAGTCATCTAGTTCTCTGGCGCTAGCGTTAGGCGACGCATTGGCCTGTGCGTTCCCCAAGTGGTGACTTACTTTGACCAAATTGAGCCTCAGCACCGAATATGGATTGGGCAGTTTGTTGCACTTGCTTATAGACTGGGAGTCCGTGAACCATGACCGAAGTAATTCGCGACTCACGTGCTCTCGCAAGAATTTCGGCCTCAAATAATTTTAATATGCGGCCGGGTCTCGTCGAACTTGAGAATTGGCGTCATTTGGCTGCACTACTGCTGCGCATTCGGCAATTCGCGTCTGGAAAAGCCCGTGGCGACCTCGTATTCTAAGCCATGCTTTGCCCGCATGCCTCTGGGGCATGTCCCAAATGTCTGGCTCTCGTATCCATCAGCACGTGTGCACCAGTCACGAAGGTGTCTTTAACCTCTTTCTGTCCGGACTAGCCAATTACGTTCCAAGGCCGGTTCACAAAGGACCCTAGTGTGATGACTGCTTACGCTCAGACACTCCTGAAGCCGGCGACCTTAGGGTCGGTTGCAGACATCCGGAGCCGGCAACTATACCCGCCGGACTATGGACGCGGCGCTCTTATTGCTGGACTGCACTCGTTCGGGAGTCACCCACCTGTTACTAACATTCTACTCCTTCTGTATTTAATAAAATTATCCATAACACTCTGGCCTTCCACGCCTTATCTTATTTACTGGTTTATAACCATTGGGATACGTTCTATCTTCTATTATCCGGCCGGACGACTTCGTATCCTACAAGTCTGCCAGTTTTTCCGACGTATTTGCTTTGTCCGCAACTGCATCATATCCTATAGACGACTACAGGTGTTTCCTGCCGTGGCAGTGAGGCTTTTGGTTTCATGATCTGACGCCTTATGGTTGCCTTCGGTCTTTGTGCGACTCCAAATTCAAGTGATGCGAGGAGGTGGCCGAGGGCCCCCGAGACGTTTCTGACATACGGAATCGTTTGCTAAACTGAGTTCATCGTTTAGAGTCGCGCTCACTCCCTGGCAGAGCAGAGCATTCTCTGTCATTCGCCTCCAGCGAATGAGTTAATTGCGTGGAAGGAAGTTACTGCTCAGTAGCGCCTCCCGTAGAATGTTACGTGCTCCTGCCAATGCGCGCAACTTTTCGGAGTGCTGCTCGTCCTCCTGCCCCTCGAAATGATTTTAATTTTTCTGCCACAGCTGACTTGTCTCCTGTAAAACTACTTTCAGACAGACAAATTAGTAGTGTGATCTTCAAGCGCATCTAGCTTACGTCAGTTAAGAACTCATGTCAGGGATCGCGGTCAAGGGCTTGTGTGCTTTGGCTTGATGTAACATGTCTAGTTAACATGGTCTTCTGCTTGGCTCGAGTTCTCACGAGGGTAGAGCAGGGTTTAGCGAGGCTGCAACCCGACCGTTGAACGAGAAGCGGACATATCGCAGGGGGTTAAGTGAAAGCCTAGCGACTGCGATCTTCAGACCTGGTTCCGACGCCAAGTGAAAGGACTACAGAAGGAAGTGGAGAATAGCTAGGAGTAAGTTGAACCTCTGACGAGTGCAGCCTGGCTGCTAGGGCGCCGGGTCCGAAATTTAGTTGTGGGAAGCATCACAGCACCTAGAGCAGTCTGTGTGTGTCGGCATTGAAAGGTGATTGGCAGGACGGGTGCATGCGCACTTCCTCCGAGTTGCAAATATAGAACCTAGCTCGGTAAATCGCTTGTCTTTTGAGTTTACCCAAGTTTGAAAAACTCTGGGCGCTTGTCTTTTGATAAGAAGTGCTCATAATTCATCCAAGAAGCGACATGGGTATGTAGTCCACTACCTGCAAGCGCTGCAATCGGGGGTGCATCCAGGTTGTATTTTCCCCGCATCGGAAGGTGGAAGAAAATGTTGCTGTTCAAGTTCATCGGCCAAAGGAGCCAGGTTACGACGGCCCTTCTTAGTTCTGCATCCAGTGTGGAGTTTGCAGGGTCGTGAAAGTGGATAACCTCGAAGTTGCTGTTCCAGACATTCTACTAGGCAAACTATTTTCCCGTATCCCCTGCTTCTCCGCCTCTCAAAACCTCCGTCCGTTCCTTTCATTTATTACTTGCTGCTTTCTCTCCACTGCTTCCATCTGCAATGTTGTGCCCCTCCTTCAAATCTTCCACGGTAGCACACATTCAAGTACCTCCTTCTGAGTATGTCATCAGAAGTCGACGTCACGTTCACTTTCCCAGCCGTTTGATTAATTACTCTTTTATACATGAACAATCCCCTCGCAGCCCCTAAAAACTTCGCAACCTGCCTTAACTTTTTCGGTTCTCCACGGACAGTTATCACATTGGCGGTACGAAGAATCGTATTGCTGGTGCCTTCCTGTGCCTTTAGCCAGCATCCGCTACTTGTGTAGTGACCGCGGGCGCCAACTGTGGGAACCCGTGATCGCTGACTCATCACGCCAGGGCCGCAGTCGCGATGACGGCTCTGCCCATCTCTCGCTCAATGTCCGGCGTGACACACTAACACGCGAATTCACGGTCGGACTAATTACCATCAAGGCTGACT